GGAGGCGGTGGTCTGTTTGTACTTTTTTAAAAGGGAAGGGGAGAGCCCTGTAAGATTTGACGAGCAAATAGCAAAGAGATGAGATCGCTCGGTTGAGGTTCCCATACATCTTGTGTACGTCATTTGCCGCGAATTAACTTCAAAAGAGCTTATTACGTTCTGACAAGTTAAAACGCCGACATCACGGGACCACGGGGAACGGTGCAGCCAGAGGCTGGGTGTGAAATTACCAACGCCAAAGCTCTCACTCCTGGCAACTGTGACGCGAGATTCTTGTAAGCTGCATGCCTCATGTCGAAACTGTACTGCCGGAACATCAATTTTAAATTTCAACGTTCAGCGACGACAGATGTGTTGCCTAGCAACACCTCACAGAAGCTTGTTCCCATCATCCCCCACTGGTATAATTAGTTTAATTCACTAAAAACTCGCACTGTGCTACTTCGGTCGCAGACTGTAAACCACAGACAGAAAACGGTGAAACGCCAACTTTCTCTCTCAGATACAACAAATAATATTCGATCTGCAGATTGGCCAAACACTTTAAAAATAAAATGACGTTCGGTGGCAGACACTCTCGAAACATTTCGGATTTGGATGTCAAGATTTGGGCGCATATTTTACAACGGCATTAACGCATTCCACTTTAAATTTGGTTCACAGCTTCACGGTGAGTAATGTTCTCCTGCTGAGCGTTATGTGCCGAGTGCCGAGACTAAAAGTGACGCAGTGCTCAATGAACGTGTTTGAAGCAAGGCTGGCGTGCGCTCACACTCCAAGAGTTGGCGGCAATATCGTTATTTACAGATACTTTTATTTTTATCATTATTTACAAACAGATACTCTTATTCTCATCGTTTAATTGTAATGTATCCCATTCCGCTTCTTCTTCGTCCGTCCTTGCACTCTTGCCCTCACGAGTAACATAATCCCCCACATAACATGCACGTAGCAAACCCATCCCTCCCACCCGTGTTTTAATCCTTACAGCTAAGCACCAACAACATCAACGCCCAGTTTTCCACCTCAAGCCATAAGTCGCTTCTTCATGTGCCCTGACACCTCCTCAGGCCCCAAACAATATAAGCCAAAGGGGAAAACTTCAATAAAGCGAATCATGCGAAAGTGGACCGGCCGTTATAAGAAATCTCCAGTATGAAAGTTCAGTCACGGTACCTCCTCAAGCAAAGACGCTACGAGCGGAACTAATGTGGGTCTGGGCATGCACAAGCATACGCCTTATTTGTTCTCATATTTGTTCGATCTACATGTCCCCCCAGACTGTTTTGTCATCAGCCCGGTGCGGACAGCCGGCTATCAAAGCGAAGACTTTGTCCCTCTTCCTCTCCCGGTATGCACATTATAAAAACTGACAAGGAGAAAAGTCGACTGGAAAAGACGAGGGCTGTAAAGGCATACAAGAGCTTGTGCTGTATTTGATCAAGGTCTATTCAGCCAAAATGTTGGGTTAAAGGAAAGCCGTTGGACACCGCGATGAGAGACGGCTGTAAAGAATATTTTTCTCCCTTTTCTTTGATCATGACTTTTCGTTCTTCTTCTTCTTCAACGTTTTTTATGTCGCACTACGCTAGTTTTGTTTTGTTTTGCTGTGACACAACTTTCACCCTTCAAATACAAGGACATAAAAAGAAGGCACAAACAACGCTGACGGAGACAAACTGAGATCAAACAGGCCGGTACGTCACTGTGGGCAAGTCTATCTACCCTTACTTTTATTATCCTCAAAATCTTCTCAATGCACATAACGATCAATTCTTTTATTACTTGCAAAAATATGGTAAATAAGTTTATGCAATAATAAGATGATTATAACTCTCTGACATGTTAAAATGTTAATATTCTGACTGCTGTCCGACTTCCTGGCTCCTAAGTGAAAGCAGAAAAAAAATCACGTTGCAATTGATATCCCTCTGCCTACAATTTTTCCAACACTCAGAAAGTCCAATTAACCAGTGACCCTAATTCCACGGTAGATCAAAGACAAGCATACGATCCGACAAGCCGTCTGACCCCTGTTGAAAGACACCGCTCTCCACGCCGTCATGCCTGCAGCATTCTCAGACCAAGAGCCAAAAAGTCCCATCTCTAAAACATTGATGTTGTGGCTGGAAACTTTGTACTTTCACTGCGCGACATATCACCATTGCCCCACCCCCTCACGGTTGTAAGCACCAATGTGCCGCCCTCATGCCGCCCCACGCCCGGCGTCACGGTTTGTCTTAGTGTGACGTCACGGTCTAAGCACGCATGACGGACAGACGATTGCGGATGTGCCGAGAGTGGTATCCTGAGGGGAGTGGGTAGCAGGATCGGGCACGGCGCAAGACCGACAAAAACAGTTGCTTTTTTAAGTATGAGAACCGATTAAGAAAATTGAGAGTAAGCTGAAAAGGAGAACACTCTCCAATAACTTAAGCCCCTCCCTAATGTAACAGTTTTTCAAGAAGAGAGAGAGAGAGAGAGAGAGTGAGAGAGAGA